TGGAATTGGGTTCCAAGATCCCGTCCACACTAGTACATATTCGAGTTGTTTTCGTTGCGAATGCAGTGTTCGTCCACACTAATCCAATTGAAAACAGCTCCAGAGACGGAACGATCTGACGATCCCACGAATTCATTTGAGTACAGATCTGATCCAGTACTGTGGACGCCTCAAAACGCTGATACGCTGATGTAGGTTTATGCGCCGCAAAGTAATTCACCGCCAGAACGCTAAGAGGCTAGAATATATGTCCATTCATGTATACGGTCTATGCATATGACCTGCAGACATATAACCGCATCAGTGCACAATAGCGAGTGTTAAGTTTTGTTTCTGTAAAACGTAAACAAATATGGTCAAAGCTGTGTGGATAGAGAAGGCTTGTGGACACAGAAACGACTTGTGTGGATGCAGATAGTTTTCCGATACGGTAATTCATTTCAGTGTAAATGTAGTCCAAATTTGCACCTATAACTGCCAACCTCTGTGAGCTTCATTTGACTGGAGTCGAACACTGTGGTTGACGTCATCCTCACTTAGTCTTCTTCTTTATACAGTCTGTGGTTGTTCTTGCGGCTAAAGTACAGAGATGTTGTGAAAGGTGTGTGCTGTGTGTGTGGTTTTTTTAATCCTCCAAGAAGTAGGAAGTGTGCTATTAGCATGCTAGTTGTTAGCATCAGCACGTCAGCTAAACTTTGCTCTTGTTTCTGAAAGCAAATGCACTTGAAATTCATTGCAGTGAATAATTAGGAATCTAGGAATATGATAGTAAAGCCAGGAATAAGTCTGGACTCTTGATCACTGCAAACAGATTTCTCCATGGAGACGAAAGACAAACCCTCTACCAGAAATGTTACATAGAGCACCTTTAGTGATTAAGCAAACAAACAACAATGAATTGACCTTTAAAGGGTGATGAAATAATGTCTGTTTCTCCGACATGCTGAGTTAATATTTGTGGAAGTGAAGTCATATAAAATTATAGTGTAGGGAGGAACCCGGATACAAACAGTCACAGTTGTCCGTGCAGCAAAACAGTTTTCATAAAATTACATGTCCGGAGTTGTAATAGAGATGCCATTATGATTAGTGGGAAGTCGTTAGAACCAAAACAAGATGTAACATGAGAATTAAAACTTGCTGTGTTACCGTGATCCTTATCTGTTTTTATACACTGTACAAATAAGGCTCAACAAAATAACAATTATTCATTTTTAGAATTTCCAAATGGTCTATTGACTTGTTCAGGAGAGGTTTTTGTCAGTTTATTTATTTATTTTTTTTCAATATCGATGCATGGGCAATATATTTAATAAGGATGCACTTATACAATACTGAATATAGGTGCCAATCCAGGAAAATTAGCAGTATAGGATATTAATTCCATGTTGATATCCTGACTTGGACTCTTTACTGACTGATGTAGACCCAGGACTTCTCATCCAGGTTGAACTTTAATTCATACAAAGCTGTTCAGTAGTTACTTGCAGAATTCATAACCCTTACATAATGATCAGATCAAACTGTAAAAAGTTAGTGCCCATGACAGGTTAGACTGCTCATTGTACTAAAACACAGTTAAACACAGTCATCATGTTTAAGATTTGGATAAAAAGGTCACAATTGTTTTCCCAGTTTGGTCTTTTTTTTTTTTTTGCTTTAAAATTTGACTCCCTGGTTGGAAATCTTGACATCACACTAAGCAATGTAGTACGCTAAGCCAAAACTCAAACTTTTTTTTTGACAAAGGAAATTGACACCTTTTTAGATTGTTGAAATCATGTTCGAAGTATCAGAAAAATGTCTTTCTTACGTAGCCTGATTCATCAGCCAGTTTCACTTCATACAAACCGTCTGACCTCGCAGTGTTAGAATTTGTTCGCTCAACGGTAGGCAGGTACTTTTTATCATTTAACCAATCGCTGCTATTTGGTCGTGACGTATATATGTGTACGTGTGCTGCTAATGGGGCTAACTGGTATATTAGGCTTTTCCCAAATCCCGTAGGAAGGACAATAACGTCTTTCCCCTTGATAAAATTCGCCAGACATTCTCTTTGTTCCATCTTTAAATCCTCGATCTTGGGAATTGTTGCCAACACTGGCTCTTTGCTGATTGGCTGGTGCCCAAACTTGCACTTTTGGGGTTTTTGTGAACTGTGTATTGTATTTTGATTCTTGACCTAGTTGCTGGAGAGAAATGAAATTGAGCGGATGCACTTGGTGGCGCCAGTTTGGCTATTTCTTACGTGCAAATTGTGCCAACAGTTTCCAGATATTTTTCAAACATTTCTTCACAAATTGCTTCTTGATTGGTGTAAAACGTTCATTTATATTTACAACATGTATTATCCTACCAAATTAAGTCAAAATTAGACTCACGTTAACTGTGTTTTGAGAGAAAATCGGCAGATGCTTAAAGATATAGTAACAGAATATAAACACTTCCTGAAATGTTTGTGTATTTTCGTTAAACACTTCACAGTTCAGTTCTACCCTGTAATGTTACACCTGTACATTGCTATTTTCAGTGGTTTTGTCAAGGTGATGGCTACAGATATAGGAAGCAGAGGAGCTTATGTGCTTTGTAGTCCCTCATGAACCGCTTATGTAACTGCAGGTGATGTTTCTCTGTGGTCCATAGGGAAGCCCTGTCATGGCGGCCACATTAATATTTCATCCAAACAGCTGCTTTCTACATAATTTAACCTTGGAGCTACTGTCACTGTTTACACATTGTGATGGGTTCAGTTTGGGGCTGAATGATTTGGGAAAAATATCAAATTTATCTGGCAAGCATCGCAATTTCAATTTGATTTGCAATTCATGTTTTTATAAAATGATTCTGTTCTCAATTTTAACACATCTTGAAGAACTGACAAAAAGACTGAAATATGAAGTGACAAACTAATAGAAGAATCATGTATTTCAGGTTTAAGTATGTTAGAGATGTAAACTACAGGGTGAAAAGTTTATGTAGAATGAGCAAAAGGTGTGTAGTACTCAAGTTTACTCAGTTACAATTAGTTGGGTAACTTTTTGAAGAAATTATACTTTCTTGAGTACTTTTCTAGCAGCATACATTTAATCCTACTTGAGTAATGTGTTTTTCCTGAAGTAACAATACTCCTGTGTATGTTTTGGTCACTCTTTCTTTCTCAGTTTTTTGTCTATCCTTTGAAGATACCAGATTTTGTGCGTTATTTAGTTTTTAGTCCTTCTAATTACATTAACTTCAAATTATAAAGCAGATGTTGAGTCCTGACAGTTAGTCTTTAGTTACTCTTACTCAAGTAGTAGTTTTCCCAAACACTTTTTTTTTCTTACTTAAGCCATTTCTTGGACCACTACTTTGTACTTCTAGTTGAGTAACATTATTTTGAAGTAATTGCACTCTTACTTGAATCCGATTCTTGGCTATCCACTTCTTAGACAAGATATTGAGTTGTTTTTGGAGGAAGTTATGGTAAGTAAAGGTCTTATATTACACCAAACTGACTCTTGTGAGCTTTAAGTCATGTTTTAATGTTGTTACCATCAATAACATACCTGGAGTTGTGTTTTGTATCCTTCACACATTTGGCTAACCTTTTATTATTAGTCTGTCTGCATCTCCAAAGCTCAAAATGCTCTGTTAATAAAGTGGTTTTCAAGTTTCGGTATTGTAATTTAAGTAATGACTCTAGTGAAGGTGCATGGAGTTTTAAAACACTTGAGCACGTGGAGCACTTCCTGTACTACAACATGACATCACAAGGTGGAATAGCAGTTTTGTTTTAAGAGAAGAACTCAGCCTAAATATGCAGGGTTTGTGTGTTTAACATGCATGAATGAATACAAAACACAACTCCAGGTATGTTTGTGATGAGGAACCATTATAACATAGATCAGAAAATAGCATAATTTGCTTTAAAAAAAAACTGCAGTCTTTGTGATTTGCTATTTTCATACATTCAAATTATGATTTTAATTCACGTGTGATTAATTTTGCATTTCTAAAATGTATATTCTATAAAGCATTTCTAGAGGAGCATGTATCTCTTCATCTGTCTGTCTGCTTGCTGAATGTGCGGAGGTGGTTCTAGCCTTTTTTTATAGTCTCCATCGCCGCGGTAACAGTCTTCTCTATGTCTAATTGGCACATTATGGCAGAACTGTGAGCTGTGGTTCACTTTGAAGTAATCCCTATGACTTTTAAATAAGAATGACAGAGTAAGATCACTAAACTAGGCCTATATAGCCAGAACTTTAGCCACTATTTTGAACATTTTAATTGGACTATTTTTTATTTTGCTGTTTTTTTTTACCACATTTCTTATTGGAATAATTGTTATGTTGGAATAGAAAATCAGAGAGATAATCACTTAAATGTAAGATTTTGGCTGAATGTTAAACTGAACATTTACCTGTTCCATTGCAAGTCTGTTGTTCACTATCTTGTCTATGAACGATTACTAAATGTTGTATATTACACATAATAGACTCTTGTGAGCTTTAAGCCATGTTATAATGTTGTTGCCTCATCAAAAACATGCCTGAAGTTGTTTAGTTTCATTCCCATACGTTTGGGTAATCCTGCATTAGTCTGTCTACATCTCAAAGCTCGAAATGCTCTGTTCCACCTTGTGATGTCATATAGTGGTAGTTTTCACATTACCAGCTACTTTTTACCTTTTCTTCATTAGAGATTGGCAATTCCAGGTCTGAAATCATCTAAATGATTCTAGTGAAGGTTTATGAAGTTTAAAAACACAGTGGAGCACTTCCTGTATTACCACATGACATCACAAGGTGGAACAGTGTTTTCTTTGCAGTATTTGTGTGTTAAAAATGTGTGAATGAAACAAAACACAACTCCAGGTTTGTGATGAGGGAAGAACATTATAACATCGATCAGAAAATAGTTTAATATGAGCCCCTTTAATAACCTTATAAGTATTATTCCAGGGCCAGAGTGTTATAAAGTGGTGGTGATGTGCTAAATGCTAATGCTCTATAATGATGAGGGAGCTGTCAACATCCTGTCGTTACGTCAACATGAAGAACCACATCGGCCTCAGTGTGAGGTCAGCTACTGTTACTGAGCCAGTGAACTCAAACTATGAGCATAAGTCATCATTTGCGTTTTTAAAGTACTGTCATTTGTACATGGCGTAGTCTTGCTCTGGGCTTGTCCCTATTAACCCCAGTGAAGTCAGCTTGTCTCAACATTAAGCATATGAAAGTTAATATGGCTTTAAAATACAGAATTGTCTTGACATCTTATTGTTATATTAGATTGAATGAATTTGAATTGAAAAGGCCTAGTTCATGCTATTTTCTTTCTTTTTTGTAATGTTTCCTTATCAAAAACATACCTGGTGTTATGTTTTTTCATTCACACATGTAATACAGAAAGTGCTCCACTGTGTTTTTAAACTCCTTACACCTTCACTAGAATCAGTTGGATGATTTCAACCCTGGAATTGTCACTGTCTCCTGTACAAAAGGTACAAGGGAGCGGTTATCTTGAAAGCTGTCACATGACATCATGAGGGGGAACAGAACATGTTGAGCTTTGGAGATGTAAACAGACTATAATAAACTGGGATTACTCAATCGTGTCAATGAAACAAACACAACTTCAGGTGTGTTTTTGATGAGGTAACGGCATTATAACAGATTAAATTATTGTTTAAAGCTTCCAAGAGGTAGTAGTAGTAGTGATGGTGGTGGTAGTAGTAGTAGTGGTAGTAGTAGTTAGTAGTAGCTAGTAGTGGTAGTAGCAGTAGTTAGTAGTAGTAGCGGTAGTAGGTGGTGGTAGTAGCAGTAGTTAGTAGTAGTGGTAGTAGTAGTAGTAGTAGTAGTAGTTAGTTAGTACTAGTAGTACTAGTAGGTAGTAGTTAGTAGATAGTAGTTAGTAGTTGTAGTAGTAGTAGTTAGTAGTGGTAGTAGTGGTAGTGGTAGTAGTGTAGTGTAGTAGTAGTAGTAGTAGTAGTAGTAGTAGTAGTAGTGTGTAGTAGTTGTAGTAGTTGTTGTAGTAGTTGTTGTAGTAGTAGTAGTAGTAGTAGTAGTAGTAGTAGTTGGTTGTAGTAGTAGGAACAAAAAAGGAATTGACCTATAATTGTAAGTCATTTGCTGCTCCCGTTCTTGTTTTGTGTCTAATCCACTGTATGAAGTTTATCAGCAGCTTTACTCACTGAGCTCCTCCACTGTTGTTTACTCTGTGTGAGTGGTTTCCATGGCAGCACTGTTTGTGTACCTGCCCCGGGTGAGCGGCGTCCTGGCCTGATCCTTCAAAAGAGGTGTGAGTTTTTAAGTGTGTAAAACTACCTCAACTATTTACAAGTATCCAAATTTCCAGGGGCTGTCATCTTTGACTAGTCATGCATTAGAAAGACAGAAAGTAATCTTAAACTAGAAGCAGTCAGCACTAAACTTGGACTGAAAATGGACTATTCTTTTTTTTGTTTTGTTTTTTGTTTAATATATATATAGGTGCATTTTCAGTACTTTTTACCATACAGCTTTTACTTTACTTACTTTTACTTTTGAATTATTAACTGCTGTCTCTGGCCATTTTGTTTTCACAGCAACCCATGAATACTATTAAATAAAGACTTATCTTACCTATAAACCTATTTGTACAATCGTAAAAATTTTAATGTACTGTTGCTTTTCTACCAAAGAATTACTGAAGTGAATTCCAGAGTTTTAAATGACATTGACATATATACATTTTATTCTATTCTTCTCTAAATCGTGAAATTCAACCTCTGCTAGGTTAAACTTGAGCCTTTCCAAGCTTCAACTGTACAAAAATTTTATTGTAGGTTTAATAAAGTAAATTGGTATAATGTTTTTCTTTGACTTGATGACTAAACGTAGTAGTATGAATTTAAAGGGTTCATATTATTATTGCTATAGTTTTGTTTAATCATCACAAACATGCACATTTTGAGTTCATGCCACCTTGTGATGTCATGTGGTGTTTTTAACTCCATACACCTTCACTAGAATGATATGTATAATTTCAGCAATGGAATTGCCAGTCTCTACTAAACAGTAAACAAAAGGTAAAATGTTGCTGTTAACTTAAAAACTGCTTCTACATGACATCAGAAGGTGGAACATTTTGAGCTTTGGAGATGACGACAGACAAAAAAAGAAGGATTACGCAAACATGTGTGAATGAAAGGTATGTTTTTGAAGATTTAACAACATCCTACCATGGCTTAAAACTCACAATATTTAGTTATGCAAAATATGAGACCTTTAAGAAAACTTGTGCAAAGAAAAAAAAACTAAGTTGTAAGAGTTGTAAGATATAGGGGCTAACTGGGACAAAATCAAGCTTATATTACTATGTACCATCAGCTGTACAAGCACCAGCATTTGAGAAGCATTATCTGTTTGGTATTTGTCCTGGAGTGGATAAAAGCTGTCTCCTCTGCTCTAATCCTGTCCACTGCCAAGACAGACCAATTAACTTAAGGGCCTTCATAAGACAAAGAGCCACTGTCGCCCACAATCCCTCACAGAACTACTCATCATCTTTACTAGAGGTGTGTTTCCAACTGCCCCACAAGACTTAATTAGCGCTTATTATATTTGCTTTCAGTCTGGACCTTGTGTTCTGCCTCTTTCAGCCCAGAAATGTCATCAACACGTCATTCAAAAAGCGCCGCACTGGCTTCTCTATGCAGATTGCAGTGTTTGCATGGTAAACAAATGAAGCTTTGCAGACAAACTGGCTGCTGTGAGGAGTGAATGATTGACAAAAATCCAGCTTAAACTCAGGGTTAAACATCCATATAACTAAACATAACATAGTATTTGTAGTGTTGACACTTCCTATATCGCATTGCACAGACTTAGACTTAGAAGGGAGTTATGTGGCCAGTCTGGATGCACCTGTACTTTAGTGTGTCATTTGTGAAGCTTAGTTGGAGATTTTATGAACGAACCAGTAGTTTTGTGTTTGAAAGAGGGCTCATACTACATAGCATGAAGAGGAAATGCTTGCAAGATTATGTCATGATAGTGGTTTCGATTGAGAGACACAACACAGTAGTTTAAAGTATGAGGAAATTAATGAGGAAATACTGACATATATTTTTACATTGGGTTTTTCTTGTGTTTAATTCTTGGTGTCCAGTTTCAAGTTTGTCAAAAGTATGGAAAATCACATACTAATCACATGCTAAAACTAGTATCGAAACTAGATACTCATCCGTGAGGCAGATCAGTTCTGTCAGAAAGCCCGGACACTAATGCATCTTACAAAATGGCACGGACTTGGAAAGCACTTAAGAAAATGGGAGCGGGTGGTGGTTGTTTTTAAAGATTTGACATACGATAGTTTAAACTGTTTATTCCTATTATTGTTTATGCTGCTGTTGACCTGGACCTGAGTGCAGTGTTTTGTTTATGTGTATTTTTATACTGAAATGACAAATAAATTCTGATTCATTTCAGCAAGTATCGATACTAGGGGGGTAACGATATCCAAGTCTCACTGTATGATATTTATTGTGATGTTTTGTGGAGGCTAACAAAACTGTTAATATGCTACTTTTTCCTCTAAAAATGCCTTGATAAAACTTAATCCAAAGAAATAAGACTCTAAAGTGCTTAGAACTGTTATTTCTTCTTGTAGTCTGCATTGAAAAGGAGCAGAGGATCGTGGTCTATGTTGTTCCCTCTGCCTTTTTTTTTTAGCTATTGCTGCATCGTAACTATTTTTTAAGCAAAGAAGGCTGCAAGAAAGTACTATGATTTAACATTCTATTCTAAATAAGTAGTTTTTTTTTTGTTTTTGTTTTTTTATCGGAATCTGTTTGAGTATCAAGTCTATCTTTTAGAATCAAAATTGAGTTGGACATTTTAATATCGTGACAACACTAGTCTTGTCCAAGCCTAACTTAAGATCTGAAGATGGGTCCTCCGCTCCTGACAGGTTGCCCCAGCAACACTGAAGCATGTTTAATGTTTGTCTACCATCATTAGACACTCAAATCACTTAGCATACAGCTAGCTAGCCACTCATGGACATTTAAATTCATAGAGTACCCTTACACTGGAGACAAAGTGGGTTAAGTGTCTTGCCCAAGAACACAATTACATCAAACACACTGGTGGGAACAGAAATTGCACCACCGAACTTCGGCTCATGGGAAAATACTATACATGGGGACCTTGTAGAACCAACCATTATGATGTAAGAAATAATCTAATTTTTCCCACATATTTTCCAATGTGCTTTTAAACATCCTTCATTACACAAAATTGACTCTTGTGAGCTTTTAGCCATGTCATAATGCTGTTACGTCATCATAAACATACCTGGAGTTGTGTTTTGTTTCATTCACACTTGTTAGAGTAACCCTGCATTATTCTTCTCCAAGTTCAACATGCTCTGTTCCACCTTGTGATGTCATGTGAAGCAGTAGTTTTCAACTTAACAACTACCTTTTATCTTTACTTCAATAGAGATTGGCAATTCCAGGGCTGAAATTATCCGCATGATTCTGGTAAAGGTGTATGGAGTTTAAAAATACAGTGGAGCTTTTCTTGTATTATTATCACATGACATCACTAGGTGGAACAGAGCGTTGCCTACATATGCAGTGTTTGTGTGTTAAATGTGTGAATGAAACAAAACACAACTTCAGTTAAGTAGCATAATATGGGCTCTTTATCTATACTTGAGCAAATAAACTCTTGAACCTGAACCTAAATGTAACCAAAAGGGTCCAGTAAAGAAATAAATAGTTGCCGTTAATTAATACAGTCCAGAGATATTAGCATTATCATTGAAAGGTGTAGCCAAGCTTTTAGTTATCTGAGTGCTTCTAGGTGTAATTTCACTGAGCTTGACATCACGAAATATAATCCATCTAAACTTTTCCCAAAGAGAAAATGCGTCCTTGTGCCCATCATCAATGACAAGCCAAAAACTAATAACTCTGTGGCTTAGGAACTAGACTTTTACGCCAAGCTCAGCACTTTGGGGACCTCAAGTGTATCTCTTCATCTTTATTATTGTCAATAAATGGAAATTAAGGGCAGTGTCAAGTTGAATAGT